ACCTTCTGCATGCCAAGCAGATGCTCTACCACCACGTTTACAGCTAAACTCAATGTTGGGTTCAAAGTCTTATGTGGTCTGACATTTGCACACTGGAAGAACCACTTTTCTCTGTATTGGATCTATGCATCACTACAAACGAAACAGCAATCCTTATCATTACAGCAGATGAGAATGGCAGTAAGAACTGAGCTTTTACAGTAATTGCCCTTAAACTGTAGAATCTCTTTTGGGAGAAGGTCTTTATTGTTCTGAGGCTTGTAAGGTATGCCAAACAGGGTGTTTAGAGCCAGGGTTTTCGTAGATTTAAAGTTAACATGTTTACTTAATATTTTTAAGTGTTGGGGATGGGGAGGTTGAGTTTTTGGAAAAGGGGTAAAATGTCAAAGATACAAGAACTCTCAGCACCATATGTACATTTGCTCATAACAACACGGTGCGGACTAAAGTTAGATGGTAGGCATGCATTCAGTTGTTAAAAGGTTCCAAAGCAAAAGGTATTAGATCCAGGACCAAGTGAGGCTCTGTCCCTGTAATAACTATTCTGATAGCTACCCAGTGAGAGATTTTCAGAAACAGCAAACATATTCCTCCTTCCTCCCTTCCACTTGGTATTCCACGGAACTAACAATTTTGTAATGCATCACTGGTAGCGCTGAGTTTGCATGGGAATTGCTTGAGAGATGCCAATGCACGCGTTGCTGTGCTGCCTTGTTCAGGCTTCAGTTTTGCAAAAGGCCTCATGTGGGAGCTGCCGCTCCTTACCACCACTGTAGCTACAGCTGGTCTTGTCTTTCCATGCCACATATCAGCTGTAGCATCTTTCTGAATCAAATTTTTTTCTTTCATTTCTGCCAGGGCTAGGAAAGAAGCAAAGAACGATCAAAGGGAATCTTTGGCCAACTGGCTTTTACAGCATTTAATTTAATTTTTTTTTGCTTTCAATTCATTTTAATTTTTAAAACCCTTAAAAATTGGTACAGGGTTTCTTCATTTTGATTGGGTTCGGTGGGAAATACGCTCCCCACTGGAACCTTCGTTTCCCACCCGATGGGGATGAAATCGCCAGGGACTGCATCCACCCAAGACAACTTTCCTATCAGAATCTGCACAGGTCAGAGAAAGTGTTTTAGATTTTCATTTTAAATAGTTGTTTAGGATAGTTACAGAGAGTAGCTGTGCTGGCTTGCAGTAGAGGAGCTAGATTAGTGTTGCTTTGGTTCTTGTATAAATCTGTAATCACGAATTTTTCACTGTTCCAGCTAATTTAAGAACTTAAAAGATAAATTAACTTGAAAGATTAAAAAGTTTCCATTCCAGCATAAACCAAGGCTGTCCCTCCAGAATAGTCATAGTCATGATTATCTGGGCTTGAAAGGCTATGGGTAAGCCAGGAGTCAGTTGGAGCGTGTGGCTGGACTCAGGCAAGTGATATGATTGGTGAGTGACAGAGAGGGGGAGGGGTTTTGGAAGTGATGCTGTGTGGATGATATTTATGTCTGTCAAGATTTACAGTTAAGACAGTTAGTGAGATGACTGTGGAGAAAGACAGTTAAGTCAGTTAAGTTCTGTCTCTGAGTTGAAGGAGACTCATCCCTGTGTGGGAAAGATTTGGTTCTGTGTAGTAAAAGAGTTAAGCAGTTTGTTTGTTTAAAGGTCTGAGAGAGAGCAGTATTGTGTGTGTTATGAAAAGTTGAAGCATAAAGAAACAGTAACCATATATGGCCTAAGGAAAATATTGTTACAAAGTGACCTGCCCAGATCCCTGTCAGTGGGAGAGAAAAGTGTGTGAAATATCAATAAATCTACTTTTATTTAAGATACCAGTACTAAAGAAATTCTTCCCAGGAAACACATAGTTCCTCGAAAGCCTAAAATCTCAATCCACCTACCCTGTGATAGGAATATTATAGGAAAAGGTTTGGAAAGCCTTATAAAATTTTCCTGGTGGCAGCCGGATACCCAAAGTAAAATAAAACATAAGAACACTTTTAAAGGAAAACCAGACCTCCCCAGATAAGAGGTCGTCACAGTGTCTCCCTCCCCTTCTGTGTCTCTCCCCCTCTGTTCGTGTCTCTCTCTCTGCCCCTGTGTTCCTCTCTGCCCCTCTGCAATGTGTCATGGTGATTTGTTGATGTACACATAATATTAAAGATGCACATGTTCTATGAAAGTCTTGAATATAACAAAACAGGAAATGACATAGAAAACAGAATTAAGAGATTTATTTTCTCAGTGCAGCAGCAGCAAAACTGAAATGGGGGATGAGGGGTTAAAACATGGGGAATGAGGAATAAGAAATTGGAAATCATCTGTGGTTTAGGCAATGGGGTGATACACATGGGGTGATACATATCCACATTTCCATTTCTGGCTTCTTACTAATCCATATTGTAGACAGAAAAAAAATCCCCATGCTCTGACTTGATATAAGGCATGTGTTCCTCAACAGAAAGAAACATTGATGTACACACATCCACGCACTCTGTAATTGCTTAGATTGTTATCACTACAGGATGCACTAAAAAGTGTTGCTGTCTTTCCCCCCTTTCTGACTTTGCCACAGATAAAGTATACTTTCATTGATACATGGTTACATGTGCTATCATGCTGTCCTGAAAATAAAACCAATCCACACATGAGTTTCTGAATTCCACAAATCAGACTTTGCACAATGACAATCTCATCCTCTTTCTTTCTTTCTTTCTCTCTCTCTCTTTCTGAAGATTTTTGAGGTGGAGCCTGTGGTGGGTGTTTCCTTCTGACATACTTAAGGTGATGTCATGGGGTGACCCATGGGTAAGGCTACGAAATGACCCATGGGTAAGGCTACCACCTTCCACTAGAATAAAGTACAGAGGGTCATCAACTTAGCCATCAACCAGCAGTACTGGGTAATAGAGGCCACTGTTCTTAGCATACAGCAGTGGGGTCAACAACTTAAGGGTCTGTAGTGCTGCCCAGGAAAACCTCTATTTGTAATGACTCATGGGACTAACCTGAAGAATGGTGCTGCTCTTGCACCAGATAGGTGTGTTTCATTCACCTGGAAAAAGCCAAGACAAATTTTGTTTGGTATCCCATTTAATTTATTCCAACTTTCTCACAGTTTAGCAATCAAAACAAAGAAAAAAGAAAAGAAAAGCACTGATTTCTAAACAGATACAACTTGCAATTGAGAGCTGATGCTTGCAAGGTTTACATAGCAAAGTAGTCCAATGCAAAAACAGCACCAATTTTTCTTTTTTAACTAGGCTTTGCAAAGTGAAATCTGAGAGTTTCCCGTGGGGGTGGAACACCCCAGCAACACAGATATGTGCTTCCAGAACTTACAGTGGTCTTGATGTCACTGTAAATTTGAGGGGCATGTGAGGTTCCCCACCAAGGCACAAATTCTCATTGGGTCCTAAACAGATTGGAGTATTAAGGTAAATCAAACCGCCGTCCCCATCAGGCTCCTGCGCACCTGGGAAAGTACGGAATTCAATGAAGACGCGATCCAAAGTCCTCATAGCAACCACCACCAGGCCTTTGTAGCATGTGAACTGGCCCCTAAGTTGCTGGCTGTATGTTTTGCCATACTGTTTAAATTTTATTCCTTTTCTTTCAGTTAATCCCTGCCCTGCATATTGAACTAAAAATTAATCCCTACAGGCCAATTCTCTTAGTTTATGGGTACACATAGATTTGTGTCTGAAGTGGTAACTCGCCAACAGTGAGTTGTCATGCAGTTTCAAAAAGGGTGTTCTCTCAGAGATGGTTGTTGACCATTTTGACAGGGGGTTGTTTCAGATCAACAGCAGCATGTAAAAATGAGGTGTGAAGTCAATGGCTTGTATCCTCCCTGCCACCTGTTCCCAATGACAAAAAGGGTGGTGAGTTCTCCTGGTTCTTCCCTCCCCACTGCAAATCCCTCTGACACTCACGAGGGCCTGCTAATGCCCATAAACTCAGTTTCACTGGGCCTGCTGCAAGAGGTCTGGGAGTACCACTCTGCTCAAGGATCTTGTACGGGGGAGAAGCCTTTCTCCTGAGCAAGACTATACCACTAAAAAGAATTAAGAGAAAAGCCCTCGAGTCCCTGCTGCTCATAGCTACTCATAGCTCTCAACAGAAAAGGAGGAAAGGTGCGCTTATCTTCCTCTCAAATATATTGCATTGTTTAAACAAAATACCCAGCCTCCAACAATTACACTGTATATGAACCTATTGATTGCCCTGTTAATACAACCTGGTATATATAATACAAGAAAACCTCACTGCCCATGCAGCAGCGAAGTCCTTACCAGCATTTGCATGATCCATAGCAAAAACAAATCAAAGAGCAGTGAAACCAAGGCAGAGCAACATGAATCCAGTCTGGGGAGCTGAATGCTCAATGACACATCCCTCTTGCCGCCAAGGTTTTATTTAAAAAAAGGGGAGGAACAGGGGCAGCAGCTTACAAATATGGTTTTTAAATGGGTTTTTGCTTATTGGGGGGTGGATCAGAATCCCCCCCCAACTTCATCCCACTTTGATTCTTACGACCAATATGGGAAAAGGATCACCCACTGGAATGAAAGTTTCAGCGCTTCTCAGGACTGAGGCCACAGAGGCAGCGGAAGGCACGGGAGCAAGCCTGATGCTGCCTCACAGTTCACGGGATTAAATTCTTAATGAATGAATTGAGGAGGAGGAGGAGGAGGAGGAGACTGTAATTCATGTTAAGGGGGAATGGCTGTTGGGAAGATACGATGCCCTGGTATGGCAGCCTTTCACCCCATACCTCCCAAAGAGGCAAGCGGCATTCCCATGGAAGGGGTGCTTGACAGACAAGGAAATTTCTTTACCTTTCATATGTGCTACAACCCACCAACGTTCCCTCTAAGCTGTGAAGTCTTGTGAGCAAAAATTCTACTTGGTGAACTACTGGCATTAAGGTTGTGAGCGAGTGACTTGGCTTCTAGTTTGCTCTGGAGCCATCCTTCCTGAGCTAAGACAAAAATTTGTGAGGTGGAGGCTAAAAAATTGTGAGCCAGCTCACACTAACTCAGCTTAGAGGGGACACTGCAACCCACTATCATGACAAAGAGGGACCAACGTGGACAGGTCGTCAGGGCTCGGTGTAGCAGGCAATGAGCTATATTTACAATCTTTGGTGTATGTCTGCACTGGGGTCGAGACACATGCTCTCATTCCGCCTGGTCGGAGCATGATCACCCTTGGTCATTTAGGGTGGCGGGTGGTGGTAGTAGTGAATAAAGGATTACACGACCAAGAGGACAGGTCTGCCCCCTCTCCCATGAAGCTCTTTGCACTGCTTGCTTGTGGCAAGGCTGCTAGTGAACAGGAAAGGTGCTAATTCTCAGCTCTTCTCGGCGGCAGTGGTGAGAAGCCGGTCCCTCCCTAGCCAACCAATCGTGCAAGCAACTGAGAGGCACGTGAAGTCAATGAAAAACTCAGATCTCTCGGAATTAAACAAAACAAAACAAAATGCATTGAAAACCCATGTAAAATCCAGCACTAGGGCTAGGCCAAGTGGCCAGCTAGTGAGTGGCAACATGTCCATCTAGTTCACATGTGCTCCTCGGTCCTCTTGCTCATGCCCAGCGTAGAAGAGGTGGCATTCAGGATCTCCTCGGATGGTCGGGGCCCCCTGGATTTTTTTCCCGGTGTTGGGATTAACACACCAGCATTCTCCTCGCTGGCCATTCACGGACATCTTGCACTAAACGGGAAGAGGAGAATGAAGGAGAGAATGCTATTAGTGAGAAGCAGACTTTATGTAACACTATACAGTAGGCTACTCCTTATTTGCAGCAGCTAGACATCACATCATCAGCAGGGCACAGGCTCAGCAGAGAAACTGCAAAGGGGAACCCAGCCATTTCTTATTTCCAGTAAGTTTTAGACCAGCTTGCGACTTACAGTACGACTGTTTCATACAGTCTACCTTCCCTAGCAATCATCACTGCACAGGGAGAAATTGCTCATTCCATCTCCTGAGAAGCGTAGCACATGTCAGTTCTAATGCAAGGTCAAACCTCTGCCTGCAAGGCACGCTGTGGTATATGGCTTGCAGGGCTCAGCTGCTGGGCTTTGACAGGCAAGAGATCCCAGCTTTAAATCCGCCAAGAGGCTCACTTGGTGACCTTGGATCAGTCATTTTTTTACCTTAACCTGTTTCACAGAGCTGTTACAAGGACTATTATACAGCCACTCCAAGCTTCTTGGAGGAATGGCCAATGTGACTGATACAGGTTTACCAACAAAACATTATACTTGCGGGCTGTCATTACAACATCACTTCACATGAAAGTACACAACCCCTCCCCCTCCCCAGGAACCAGCACTGTATTTATCTAGGGGGCTTGTTCTATGGGGCTTTCAGCCAGCCCTGGGGGAGAAAAGCATAGGGAGTTCAGGGGGTCTGGAACAAGCACGGGATAGCAACAGGCCCACACATGAGCCCTGCCTCTTTCCCCTTTGCTGCTGCTCCAAGGAACAACAGAGCTCACCCGTGGCAAAAGCTGCTCCCTCCCGGGTTCATGCAGGGCTCGGCAGAAGTCACCAGTTCTTATTTAATATGTTTTTATCTTGCCATTACTCTGAGAAGGTCGAGGCAGCATATATCAACCTTCCTTTGCCATTTTATCCTCACAACCACCCTGTGAAGTAGGTTGGGCTGAGAGCATGTGAGCGGCCCCAGACCCCATTGCAGAGTGGGGATTTGAACCTGGGTCTCTAGTCCAACCGTTACACCAAGCTGGATCTTCTAAATAGCAATCATAAGAGAGTTTCCTCCTGACCCGTGGAGAGGCAAAGGATTTTATTTATTAGATTTCTAACCTGCCCTCCCGCCGAAGCGGCTCAGGGTGGCTTACATGGAATTTTAAAAATAATTTTTTAAAAAATATATTTTTAAAACCAGCATACAATTTTAAAACCAGCAAAAATACAATGTAAAATACAATTCCATAGAATTCCAATAAATACAATAAAATTATTTAAATACGACGGCATCCTCTGGTATATATAATTCTATTTTGGTCATGGACTCCCCTGAACATTCCAACACGCTCCAAATCAGTTCGCTCTCTGATCTGTCATTCAGAGGGTCTCCCTATCCACTGGCTGCTTTGCCTGAGTCCTGCCTCCAACATTCTAGACAGTTTGCTGTTCCTCTCCCCCCCACAGCCAGTCAGAACACAGAGGTCATTTGCATATGTGGCCTGATTCGCCTTTGCCTCGGAACACAGAGGTTGTTTGCATATGCGGCCTCACTGGCCTTTCCCTGTAACATTCTAAACAGTTTGCTGTTGATGTTCTGTGTCTGTTCGGGGAAACCATGGTTGCAAATCTCCAGGTGAGGGCTAAAGATCACTCAGAATTACAACATGGACTAAGTATAAAAGATTTTTCTCGGATGAGAGACCATTATGGATTGTATCGGCAGAGGTTATAAAACCCTTTTCAATGCATAAGGGGGAAGACTGGGTACAAAATAGAGATATGTTGAAACCTGTGGGAAAGACATATGAATTAAAAATGGAAGAAGACTTGGCCTTTAAATATGGTTGGTTACAATATAGACAAATTTATGATTTGTTTAAAAAAGATTAAAAAAACTTTTGGGTTTAGAAAAATGTATAATGATATTGAGAATGTGTGGTTTGAGGGAGGTAAAAACTGATTTCTAAAATGTATAAAATATTGTTAAAATGGTATACAGAAGATGAGACAGTTAAAGAGCAAATGATAAAATGGGTGGTTAACATGAAAAGAAATATCGATGTCATCATGGGAATTTCTATGGAAAAATGCAATGAAAATATCAACATGTACTAACCTGAAAGAAAATTGTTTTAAGATGATGTATAGATGGTATATGACACCAAAAAGATAGCAAATATGAATAGCAATATGTCAAACAAATGTTGGAAATGTAAAAAAGTAGAGGGCTCGTTTTATCATATGTGGTGGACGTGTGAAAAAGCAAAAACATTTTGGACTGAGATACATGCAGAAGAAAGGGAGAAAATTGTTAAGTGTAAGTTTAAGAAAGAGCCAGAAATATTGCTTTTAAGACTTAAAATGGAAGAAGTAAATGTGGCAAAAAGGACATTGATGTGGTATATAATTACAACAGCTTGAATGACATATGCTCAATGTTGGAAACAAGACAAAACACCTGAAATTGGAGATTGGATAAAGAAGTTACTTTTTATGGTCGAAATGGACAAAATGACGAGGAAACTTAAAAAATTTGGAAACAGAAGAATTTTTCAAAGATTGGAAAGATTTTAGAGACTATTCGGAAAAGTATTGGGATGTAAAGGACAATCTGCTTTGTTTTGAAAATTATTGAAATATAAAGAATAATAGAAATAGATAAGTGTATAAGAACAACAATTGAAAAATGTATTACCTGTAGAGTTTGAATATTTTAAAAAAGGAAGATATGTAAAAGATCTAAGAGATGGGCAGGAGGTTGGAGCACTGTGGGAAGCCATGAAAGGGTGGGGGTAAGAGGAAAAAGGATGTATAACATAAATTTTGTTGTATGCTTGAACGTTTATTATATCCTAATAAATTGTTTTTGGAAAAAGAATTACAACTGCTTTCCAGATGGCAGAGATCAGTTCCCCTGGAGAAAATGGTGGACTTTGTGTCCTTATATCCTGCTGAGATGGCTCCTGTATGACAGCCAATGTGACGTAGCAGTCAGGGCTTCAGCTATTAAAAATGATGTCCAGATGACCAAGATCAGTTATCCTGGAGAAAGTGGCTGCTTTGGGCAGTGGATTCTATGGCGTTATACCCTACTGAGGTCCCTCCCCACCCCAAACCCTGCCCTCCCCAGGCTCTACCCCTCAAATCTACAGGTATTTCCCAACCCAGATTGGCAACCATGTAATCAGCTATGGAACTACTTTCCAGACCCTTGGAACCCAGAAAACATGGCACTGGAGGAGGTGCTTTTCTACCTTAGCTGCCACTGCATAACACCCCCCTCCCCCTCAAAAAATAAGTCAGAGGTGGAGAGAACCTTATCTGTTACCATGAGGCTGTCCTCCCATTCTACCCACTTGGGGCAGCAAAATGACTTGAGACAGCCCTGCCTTATAGCTAAGCAGAAGGAAAGAAACATGGCTTGCCTCCCTCCATTTTCCGCTTCCCTCTGCCACCCCACCAGCCAGAGTCGGGACACTCATCTGAAGCTTCCTTCTAGATCCCATTGTATTTCTTCCCACAACGGGCCTTACTCCTAGTCCTATAATAAAGTGCAAGGGCACCACGACCGACAGAATCAATTATTACTGGAACGCCCGACAAAACAGCTCCATTTTCACGGCTCTGCGGAATTGCTGGAGGTCCCACAGCACCCTGATCTCACTAGGGAGCTTGTTCCAGAGCGTTGGCGCCACCAGGGAGAATGCCCTGGTCCTAGATTAAAAAAACAAGTGAGGAGCAAGTTTATGGGAAGAAACCAAAAGGACTGGGAACCCACCCCCACCCCCCAGTATGCTCATACAGATATGAGCTTTGATTCTCAAAAGTTCATAACCCCAAAATCTTGTTGGTCTCCAAGATGCTGACCTGACCTGGATAGCCCAGGCTAGTCCGATCTTGGAAGCTAAGCAGGGTCAACCCTGGTCAGTACTTGGATGGGAGACCCCCAAGGAATACCAAGAGGCAGCCAATGGCAAACCACCTCTGAACGTCTCTTGAAAACCCTTGAAGTGTTGCTGTAAGTCAGCTGTGACTTGACGGCACTTTCCACCACCACTCTGAGGTGCTATTGGACTCAGAATCTAACTGGAAATACATGACTGAATGTGCGCTCATATCATTAGTGCACCTCGTTTCAAAAATAGACTCTCTGGGACCCCAAGACCAAGGGGCGGACTTGTCTAAAAGGCGGTGGAGTGGCTCTGCCATGGCCACCTTGTGCGGCAGAAAAGCGTGATAAAAATGTATTAGTCCCAGGAAAGCCTGTAGCTCCGCCTTGCATGTAGGGGCTGGGGCCTCGAACATAGCCTTGACCTTATCCTTAGCTGGGTGCAAGCCCACCTCGTCAACCCGGTACCCCAAGAAATCCACCTCCGACACCCCTAGAAGGCATTTCTCCCACTTAACCTTCAGTCCTGCGGAGTCGAAGCGGAGGAGGACAGCACGGAGTCGCGACACGAAATCCTCGGGTGTGGCCGCCACGATGAAAACATCATCAAAGAAAGGCGTCACACCTGGGATCCCTTTTAGCATGGAATCCATCATTTGTTGGAAAATGCCCGGGGCCACACTCACCCCATATTGTAACCTCTTAACCTTGAACGCCCCCCAGTGAGTCACGATGGTTTGGGCGAAGGCTGTCGCCTCGTCCACAGGCAGCTGCTGGTAGGCTTGTGCGAGGTCCAGCTTCCCGAAAATCTTAGCGCCCACAAGTGAGGCCAAGACGTTGCTCACGACAGGCACTGGGTATGAGTGGTCGGCCAGCGCTTGGCTGAGGGTACACTTATAATCCGCGCAGATGCGGTTAACAGGGGTTACTATCAGGGTTTCCCAGGGCGCGTGTGATACGGGTTCCAGTACGGCCCGAACTCCCTCTTCGCCCAAGTTCTCCGGACTCGACTGGGCCCCTGCGAAGTGGGCTGTCGCAGCGGGCCGATCCTTGTGAGAGGCCTCATGAGCAGTGGCGTGCTGCAGGGTCTCGTCCAGTTTCAGTGTGCGATTGCTGATCATCTTCCATCGCAGCTTGGTATCGCTCAGGCCGCACACAAACTGCGTTAAGAGGTTGTCCACTACCGTGGGGAAGGCACAGTCTACAGTGAGCTGGTGTAGCGCGGCCATGTAAGCTGCGGCCGATTCCCCGGGGGCCTGGATGCGGCTCTGGAAGTCCATCCTCCTGGCCAGGAAGATCAGTGTTGGGTTGAAATAAGCGTTGAGGGCCTCTAGGATCTCCTCAAACTCACATTCCAGGATTGATCTAGGCGCCAGTAGGCTTTTGGTGAGTCGAATCGTATCCGTGCCACATGAGCTGATGAGCAGGGCCCTCTGTTTACCAGCGTCTGTGAAGCCATTGAGTATAAGGTAGCAGGCCAACTGGTCCGTCCATGAGTCCCACAGCTCGGGCTGGGAAACGTCAAACTTGTCCAAGCTTCCGTGGTTCACGGCCATGTTTCTAGCGCGTTGCGGGGAGTGGGGTCAGTCGAAAGGTGCAAGCGGCTGCGCGGTGCTCCTTGGTAGCGTGCGGGACGCAGACTCTTCCACCTCGGGCTCGGTGCTCCGCTGGCTGTGGACTCAGGGTCGCTCATGCTGGCTTTCGAGCAAGGGAAACCTTTACCTTTACCAGCATGTCTGACTATACTGTACCTAGCCTTCTTTGACCTCAAGCTGACTCACCCCTTTTGGATGAGGGATTCCTCCATCTGCAGCAGCTTCACACTAGCTCTGCTTCCTAGGAGTGAACCCCTCCCACTTTGGGTAAAGTCTTTTATCACTTCTTCCCAAGCAACACTGTCTACTATTCTGCTCGTGTAAGTTTTCCCTCCAAGTTAGCCAGTCACAGGGTCCAAAGGGTGACCTGGGAAATGTAGGCCCTGATAGCTATTCTAGTATAGGCTTCCCTGGACCACTAGGCCTCCCTAGAGCCTGTAGGCTGTACTACTATAGGCCTAGGATCATGACAGAGCCTAAGAAGGGTTTTGGAGAAAAGCAGAAAACCTTCCCTAGGGAAGCAATGGGCTGGTGAGAGAAGCTTGCTCTCCGTCATGGTTTCTTTAAGAATTATCTGGCTAGATGCCATCTGATGGATTTATCTCTGGCCTGATCCTCCAAGGAATTTCCTATGTTTCCCAAGCCCTGCTACAAATTATGTGGTGCTTGTGTTGGTCCTCTTAGTGTGACATAGATCTACAGGGACCAGCACTAGATGAACCATTCTGTACACCAAGACCAGAGTTTCTGATCCCTGAAAAAGTAGTCCCCAAGCACTCTCCTCACTTGCCTGTTTGAGATTGTAAAGGCCTTGCTTGTCGCAGTTTGGGATATTCAGGGAATAGAGGTGCTCCAATGGACCACGCTCATCTGGTAGTCGCATGGTCGAGATGCGTTCCAAGACCTGATCCAATTGCTGCTGGCAGGGAGTCTGTAAAAGGCCAAGAAAACAGAATGAAAGATCAGTTGGGTCAGTATTAGGATTTCAGTTAAAGGAATGGCAACTGTGTGTACTTTTCTTCAAAGCACGTCAGGTAGAGTCAAAGACTCCCACCATGCGCTGCACAGAAAGAAGATGTGGTGTCCTCCATTCTGGCTTAAGATGGCTTTGTCCAACAAGATTTTTTTTTTTAAAAAAGGACTCTGCCCTCCAAAGCACCAGCAAAAATGGCTAATACACCCCACTTCACCTATAGTTAACACCATCTCAAGGTTGCTGACTCTTAAAATGAGGAATGAAGGGTCAGCACATTGTGATAGCACATTGTGTAGCACATATAGGCACATGACCTCTTTCAATGATACACTAGCTTGTCCTCTCTTTGACAAACAGATGTGAAAACAAACAACAACAACAAAGTAAGGACAGACTCCTCCAGCATGGAACAGGATTTCCCCCTTCTAAATATGCTACTTCAGTCAAGGCAGTGATGGGGAAACTGTTCAAAGTTCTTTGCAAATAGTCACGTCTTAGCATTGCTTTCCCCTACCTCCTTCCTAGTAATGTTGGAAGGAAATGAGTTACATACCCAACTCCCACAGCATCACCAACTAAAGTGATCAATTTCAGCTCAAAAGTTGTCATCATTAGAGGAACTTCAAATGATGGTACTTATAACAAAGCTTTTCAGATAAATCCACCCCCACCATGAGCCTAAAAAAGAGTGAGTGTCTGGTATGGAAAATGTTACCATTGTTTCACATCCCTTTGGTTTATTTGTATTCATCTATTTAAAATATTTATATAAGATTGTATGCAGGGGTCATTTCATAGAAAAAGAGGTGCAGGAGCTCATTAGCATAACTTATTTGCATATGCCACACCCCCTGACATCACTGGAAGTGTGTCAGAAGGCAACACCCACCACTCAGGCTCCACTGGACTGTTTGGGATTGCTAGCTATTGGGGGGGGGGGAAGGGATGTGCAGATCTGTCCTTGCAGAGGAGGGAGAGCTTGTACCTGAATAAAACTTGGTCTTAAAAGTGCCACTGGACCGTTTTGGACCGGGGGGCCGGGCTCTGCAACTTACCTGGCTACTTCTTGCTCTGACTGAGGGCTGCTGGGAGCAGGGGGTGGGGCTTGTTGCCTGTGGCCACCCCCTGGGCTCTTTACTGCTGGAGCTCTGCTCCTGTGCGCTCCTGCAGGAAATGACCCCTGATTGTATGTATGCAATGATGTATTCTTCCAGTGAAAATATGCTGCTGGATCTGTTAACCCCTATTAGGAGTATGATTATGATTTCTCAAGAATTAAAAATATTTATTTGAACCTAGGGAAGAAGGATTTTTCTGCAAACCCAAAAGAACCCCTAGGTAGAAAAATCTGAAATTAAATATATATGGAGAAGCAAGTTCTGCGCTTGCATGGATGTTGTAACTCCACTGAAAAAAATGCCAAATGAGATCTCGCAAAGTCAAGGTCAACATTCCAAGGGAGGTTTTTAAAAAGGACTCACGGGGGAGAGGAAGCAGCCACAGTGGTCAGGAAGGATCGGGAGGGGTGGAGAAAGACAATCAGGGAGGAGGAAGGGTTCAGGAGAGAGATAGGAATGGTGAAGCCAACTAGATCAGTGTTAGCAGCAACCAAAAGGACAGTAAGGGGAAGATGGTTAAGCCCCATGGCTGCTCAGGGACCCTCCAAGAGGAGTGGTTGCAGAAGCAGCATTAGCAAGCTAGTCAGTGGGGAAAAGATCAACAGCTACACCAGAACAACAAAAACTATTATCCCTGCATCTGGGCTGATAATATCAACTGTAATACTGATGGACTACTGGGCGTCAAAGCCCTCCTCCTAGGCCCTGCAAAAATACATCAACCCAAAGAGAAATTTTCTGTTTTTCATTTCACTGATTTATCCCCTGTGGTTTTCTGGGCCTGATACAGCTTTGAGCATGGTAAGAGGGTGGGCTTCACATCCTCCACTATTCTTTCTAATCATTTACAGCAAAATGTTCTAAATTTACAATGCACTGGTACATAGTTAGGATCTCTGCCATAATCTTCAGTATGCAGTCTTTGAAGGTTCAGACTAAGGTCCACCAAGACCAGCATTCTTTCCAAAAGTCCCAACTAATTTAACATCCAGAAATTGGCTAGTGCCCCCCAGCTGACTACTATCTACTTTCTGGGTTGCCATTTCTTTTCTTTTGGTTTTTATTAGCTCTGTTTCTCTGCTTTGAGCAACAGCCTGACACATGCTAATTCAGCGGGTGAAGCTTTACCTACCACTTTGCTACAGGAAAAGCTTTCCCTTCTACATAGCTCTAGGGTAGGGCTGTCAGGTCTCCCACAATATGGTTTTTGTAAATCCTAGAGTGTCCTGTGATATCACTTCCAGTTTTGACTCAAGCAGCTTGCCAGGGTGATGCCAGCATGCCAGTTCCCACCCCCTATTTACTTCCTGGTGTTGCCAGCTGTGGCCCAGCAACACTACTCTAGTGCTAGAGAAAAATAAGCTTCTAACCCTAGAAACACAACATAGAAGGTACACAATGGGACAGAAACAACACTGCTTAAGATGCCTTTTCTTTAGAAGTGTTAGAAACAGCACAGAACACTAACAGTTCTTGCAAACTTATCTGTCAGATACAAGTGGAACATCCCGTGGCAATGAGTTTAACAGGTCAGCCAAGGACTTTCTTTTTTGTTTTGTTTTTTTAAAAAGCAATGCCTTAGATCACCTGGAGTTATTCCATAGGCAGCAGAAATTCCATTCACAAAGTGCAATTTTCTTACATTCCTAGGGTTGCCAAACCCCCCCCCCCGGTTTGGCAGGGGTCCCCTGCTTTTTGGGGGGTTCTACTCGCCGCTGGCCAGCTGGCCGATGGGAGAAGCCCCGCCCCAAGCCCCAACACCCACAGCCGCCCCTGTTCCTTCTCCCTGCACTTAAAGGGGCTGCCTTTAAGTGCAGGGAGCTAGCATTTCCCGCGCGTCCAATTGGGCATGTGAAGCCTTCCAGCTCCATGCTCTTAAAAAGGGCCGCCCCTGTCCCTTCTCCCTGCACTTAAAGGGGCTCCCTTTAAGTGCAGGGAGCTAGCATTTCCCGCGCGTCCAATTGGGCATGTGAAGCCTTCCAGCTCCATGCTCTTAAAAAGGGCCCCCGTTAAGTGCAAGGAGTTGGTGTTTCCCCACGCGCCCATTGGGCGGGCGGCGGGGACGTACCCAACATGACATCAGCACATTGGGGATGCCCCGCCCCCTCCAGGAACACCCCTCAAAGTCCCCCACTGTGGGTTAAAATGGACTTGGCAGCCCTATACATTCCCCCCAGCACCTGAAATTCCTCTCTGGAGATTCCTTGTCCTAGGGGTTTCCTGTGTGCCAAGAACAAGAGGCAGAAGACAAGAAAGTTCCAGACTGTAGCAGAAATCTTCCACCCAATGAAAACCTCCAGGGGACCTAAGCCTATATGTTAATTACATTGGCTGCCAGTCACTTGTTGAAAACATGCCTGATTTGATAGACTTGATCATATTCCTTTTGCCCATGGGGTATCTTTCAGCTTCTAAAGGACAACAAATCAATTCTGTCGTACCTTCTCTATACTACCTTATTTATTCAACTGTTTTTGAAAACCCCAAGAACTGTAGCATTTCAAAAGATATCAAGGCAACCCTTAATTTATGTGGGGATCTTAAGGTGGATATTGTGACAAAATTCAGCCTGCCTTTTTAAACATGCTGAATTTGTGCTTCTACATGTCTTCCACAAAGCCTCCAACATTTTTTTGCAGCAGTCACCTACTTTAGAGCATTAAGTGTAGAAGTATTTTTATGGCTTCTGAGGGAAGATACTTTGAGAGTCAGTGATTTCTGTCAGGGAATTGTCAGAAAAGTACTTCTATAGAGAGAAGAAGAGGGACTCCATTGTCTAAGATATATTAAAACTACTCTGAGGGAGAAGTCAGATTCTCACTCAAGAAAGCTACAACATGGTTTTATACAGACATATAGTATTGGAAAAATAATTTGGCAGGAGGTTTGAAGAGTTAGAGAGAACTCCCAGATGAGCCAAATAGGAAAAGGAGTTATTGCTTCTTAGGGACAAGAACAATAACTTCTAGACAGTAGGAACCCCTGTCTTAAAAACGGGGAACAGCTTAGACACCTCGAGAGTTACTGGAAAGCTATAACATCTAAAGGGAAAACCTAGATCTCTGAAGGGAGACACCTAGAAGCACTAAGATAAAGCTGTTCTCAAAGAAACTGTATTTAAGATTCTGTGTAATAGCAGAAATATATAATAAGCAAAAACCTTTCTTGTATGTTCAAAAACCTCAATTCTGTATATGTAGGAAAGTTTTACCTGAGCAATCTCTATACCTTGAACCCTCATATTTATAGTTTCCCTGCCTGTTTATTAAAATTTATTTATTTATTTATTTGGATCAGGCTCAGGGTGGCTTCCATCAAATTTATTTATTTGGATCAGGCTCAGGGCAGCTTCCATCAAATAACAACCGGTAAGTATACAATACACACACACACATATACACAAACACACAAAGTAAAAACAATTAAAACTCTTTATTCGGTTTTGAAAGTTAATTTTCCTCATGTGCCATTTCATGAGGGTGTATTAAAACAAGGCCGTGCCCATATTCCCTCTAGTTCCTTTGCTGGGTCATAAGCCTAAACTAATATCTGTGACCAAGCAGGACAGTTAAAGCTTATAAAATAAAGAAGAAATACACGCAGCTCAGTCACTGAGGGGAACTAAAAATATTTTTAGCAGGGAAATCTGCCTGGGAGTAACAGAGCATAGAAATACATGGGAGAAGATATTTACACAGTCTTGAACCCTTGAAGGTAGGAGCCTTCAATAGTACTCTATAGCCTAAACAGCGGATAAGAAGTTGCGTGATAGCTCCTCTGGTGATAGCTCTAGTTCCCCTCACATGGGCTCCTCTCCCTCCTATTTCTGTTCTTTCCATTTAATCGGTTTCCTCAAGGAATTCTCCAGGAGACAAGACTTTGAGCATCAAAGGTCCCAACTAAGGATGGACACAAACTGAATTATGAACCAAAGTTCATCACAAACTTGGCCTGGGTTGTGCTATCCCACCCTCACGTACCCCATGAACCCCCCCAGGTGGATTTGTGTGGTTTGTGTCAGGAGGGTGCTGAAGGCTTGGAGAAGGGATCCCTTTAAATGGTTTTTGCAAGCTGTGCCACCACAGCACAAGTCACAATTGAAATGAGAAGGCATTTAAATGCCTTTTCAGTTGACTAGTTTGAGTTGTGCTGCTGCAAAGGCATGGCTCAGCAAGCAAACTGGGAAGGCATTCAAATACTTTCCCACTTGGAAGCGATTTCAACAATCCCTTTCGCTCCTGTCCCCACTTCCAAGTGGGGGGGAACAAAAGGGATTGCTGAAATGGCTTGCAAAAGCCATTTAATGGGGAAATCCCCTTTAAGTGGCTTTTGCAAGCCATTTCAGCAATCCCTTTCACTCCCCCCTCTTCCAAGTGTGTGTGGGGGGGGAGTGAAAGGGATCACTGAAATGGCGTGCATCTATTTCAGCCTAACAGGCTAACAGCCTGAAATGGATGCAAACCTTTTCAGCAATCCATCATGCTCCCCCCCCCCCTTGGAAGTGGGGGGGGGAGCAAAAGGGATTGCTGAAATGGCTTGCAAAAGCCATTTAAAGGGAAGATTCCTTTTTTTTTTGCAAGTTGAGTGCTGTGCGCAAGTGAAGTCCAGGTGGCAAATTCACCCAGAAGTGCTGAACTTGCCACCAACTTCACACGCGTGTGGTGCCCACTTGCAAAAGCCGTTTAACGGAAACATTCCCTTTAAATGGCTTTTGCATTGTTTCCCCTCCTTCCATGCTGCTGGTCTCGGGGAGCTGCCACCAGCAGAAAGGAGGGAGGGGAAGATACATGAACCGAACCTGTTTGCGAAACGGGGGAGCTTCATCCTGGTTCATGGGACCTCACGAACCAGTAATCAGGATGAGCCTCCATTTTCTTGATTCATGCCCATCTCTAGTCTCAACAGATGAAACAGAACTGATGAAAAGGAAGACCTTCCTCTCCCTATATAAAGCATCTACCCTTTAAGGTTACAACACTGTTCCAGAAAAAGCTCCTACTGGGTAGCCATCTTGGCATGACAACCATGAGTTCAGCTGTGTACAGTGTCATGTGAAGAAGGACATATCCCAAAGAACCAGCACAGGTACTTGAAGGTTTTGCTCTCTCCACTGCAGCTTGGCAGCTGCCTGAAGAAGGCAATGTGCAAATGTCCCTTGGTCAAATCTCTTCCCAACTTACCCTGAGAGTGGATGGCCGTAGCTCAGGATGGTGGTGGTGCTTGGTAGGTTTGCCCATCTGCTTTTGCTGCTCATTCACCCGCTCGCGTGCTACGGCCAACTCCTTGTCACTTTTCACTTTTCGCCCTCCACTTCCGGGGACCACACTGGCAGTATTATCCACATGGTTTTCTGCAAGGGATGCTTCAGTGTGTTCATCATCTACATAGACCAGGGTTGGGTAAAGAAAGGAAACAATTATTAGGTATGGTGATCAGAGAACGGACACCGGAGATGGAATTGGGGGGGGGGGGAATCCCACTAAAAGAACTGTGGCTCCACTCAACCAATACGCATAATAGCTCTGAAAGGATCTGAGAAAGAAATTCCACAGAGTGGCCAAGGGAAAGGGGTGCTTCTATTGAGGGAAACCCAAAAGTGGGATACTTGTTAACCCCCCACCTCTAAATAAGTTGTCATCTTTGAATGCTTGGTTACAAATGGTAAAATTATTTAATGCATTAAATTAATGCATTAATTTTAATCGAATCTTACACATATCTGAACCACAGGAGACATTTTGGCCCAATACACAGAACAGCATGTCCCATTGGTTCAGATAGAGCGGCCCAGAGTCTGGGCTTAACTACAAGGCCAACGGCAGCAAGGGGGAGGAGAGGGAAGCAAGTAAGCCGTTTCAAAGGGCTCAAAGATGCAAAAAGTCCCTGTTTAGCAGAGAAGTTAAAAGAAACTCTGAAAAAAAATACAGAAAGCAGTCTGACAAGAAATCAAATCGAAGAGCACCCCTCCCAAAGCTGTGCAATATATAAAATTGCCAAACTCCTGGATTCAGAGATCAGTTCGCCTGGGGAAAATGGCCACTTTGGAAGGTGAGTTATGTGGCACTGTACTCCACTGAAGCCTCTTCCCTCCCCAAACCCCAGTTCTTGATTCAATTTTATTGGGTTAAGTTTCTTTCCCCTCTTTGGTTCTGTATAGTGATGGCACGTATAAGGAACATTGCAGGTAGTGTGCACTCCTGTTAATGGACTCCTGGTAAATGTGGCTGTCACATCTGAAAAGGACAAATGCAGGTCTGCTTTCAAGCAGAGGGCTCCTGACAAAATCCATCGTTTGCGCTGCTGCCACAATGCAGACAACCTCTTAGCCTGCCCCCATTATAGTCTTCAGCAGCTTTTGCCAAAGGGGAGGAGGTTCTCTCATTGGTGTACAACATTTGGCATTTCAAAATCCCAATTGGTATTGCATGGTTGGATCTGCGCTGCATTCCTAATGCTTTAATAACCCTATGGAAAAACTGGATTTCAAAACTTCTCAAAGGGTTTGGTGAGGCTTCCAGATGAGTAGTGTAATATTAGTACCCATTATCCCCCTTTCCCATCCATTACTGTCCCTGGTTGTCTGGCCTTTTCAGTGTAAATGTGTAAATAGGGATAAGGTTGCCAAGTGAGGCGGACAAGCGGGCAGTCTCTGGGAGAGAGAACTGTTCCAGCGAGTTCCAGGTGAACTGCCGGGTGAGCTGCTGTCACATTTAAATGCTTTCTCTCCACTGGAAATAATGGATGGGGGCATCTTTTGGGGCTCACAGAATTGGACCCCCTGGTCTAATCTTTTTGAAACTTGGGGGTGGGGGGAGGCACCAGCAGCTATATGAAAATCTGGTGCCTCTAACTCAACCCCCCCCCCCCCCCGAGCCTAAGATATCCATGGATTGATTCTCCATTATACCCTATGGGGACTGGTCTCTCTCTTTTTTATTATAGAATTTTTTATTGCTTTTCACTATAAACTACAAAACTACACATTACAGATTCAGAGTAGCAAGGTACAATAATGATCTATCTTACGCTTTGGGTGTTTCCCTATATATTCAAGTTTACAATACATCATTTAATTTCTAAGTAATAAGTATTCAAATAGAAAGAACAAAAATTTCTTAATTTTAGTATTGCATATGAGCAATAATATAAATTCTTTAAACTGTGACATAGCGAAATCTCAGATCTTCATTTGGATGTCTTCTTGTCTTTGCGCTTCTTCTTCTTTTGCCAGGGAATTTTAACCTTATAAGATCTGGGTGCATCAGCTCCCAAATCAGAATCAAAGTCAGAGTCAAAGATTTCACCCAGGGACACCGAAGTAGATGAGGAGCTGTCAGTGGCTGACACCTGATGATCACTGTTTTCTTCTGTCACCTTCTTTTCCTCTGCTTCTTTTCTTTTCTTTTTTTGTTGGAATTTGATGCTATATCAGGAATGCTTCTGCTTTAGAGAGAGAGTCAATCTTGTCTTTCTTCTCTTTGTAGTTGAATATAAGACCTTCTGGTAAAATCCATCGGTATTGGACATTGTTCTTTTGAAGGAATGTTGTAAATTTTCTGTATTGCTTCCTCTTCTTACGTATTTCATATGGTACATCTTTTAGTACTTTTATCTCTTCCTCTTGGATTTTTAATGTTGTGACAGTAGAGGCTTTAAGTATTGAGTCTCTTGTTGATCTTTTTGCACATTTAACAAATATTTCCCCTGGAAGATTATTTTTCTTCACAAACTCTGAATAAGTTCTATAAATCATGTTTATGTCTGCTTGCAATATTTCAGGTTTACTGTTAATCAATGGGGCCAATGCTTCGCTTAAGATTTGTCTTAAATGTTCACCTTTTTCCCCCAGTACCCCTTGAAATCTTAAAACATAGGGATCTTTCCACTTGCAATTGTAATAATTGTTTTTCAGAAGCTCTTTCTTTCTCAGCAATGTCCATTCTTTGATCCATCTCTTTGGTCTTAGTTTCAACCTGTTTTAGCTTTTTGACCAACTTCTCTGATTTATCTTTGATCTCCTTCATCTCCTTCTGCAAATCATCAAACTTTTTGTTGAGATTCGTCAGCTGATCCAGCAGGGGCCGAAGATTTCAGAAATTGTACCAGCTAAATTGGTGGTAGTTTCTGGTCTTGTGACCAGTGATGCTGTACTGGCACTTACTGTGGTGCCTTTGCCTCTGGACGCCATTTCCCCCCCACGTGGCAACGTTGTTTACATTCAGGTTAAAGTTCTTAAAAGTTCTAAGATTTTTTTCTGTACTGAATAACAAGCCCCACTGGGATCCACTTCGGTTGGGTGGGTTTCTAACAGCTTGTTGTCAGCTTGCTTCCCGTTTCGCTGCATTTTGTGCTATAGGGTAGGGTTCTTTCTCCCGAGAGTTTCCCCCCCTTCTCTATGGGGCTTTGCTGTCTCACTGTCAGTTCCTGCACCCTCTTTACTTTTGTCTTTCTTTTGAAACTTAATTCACTATTTTTTCACTGGATGTCATCCCGTAGGGAAAAAAAAAAAAAAAGGCCTTTTGCTTAAGTCCTTGCGCGCTCTGGTCCGGTAACGTCTCTGGGTGCCATTGCTGGCCTCGGGCCAGCGGGACCTTAAGGAGCAAAAAAGAGCCTCAATCCTTGAGCCGCAGCTTCGGGAGCGGCTCCTCCAGCGCTCCAGGCTAGAAGATCCCTGCAAGGGCTTCGTGGGGGGGGGGTCGAAGGCTTCTGAACCCCCTCCCTGCCGCCTTGATCCAAATCGCACCCATCAGAGCTCGATGGAGTGCATTTGTTCGTGAGCCGCTGAAAACCGGAAGTCGGGACTGGTCTCCATAGGGTATGATGGAGCACCCAGCAGCTGTCCCCCCCCCCCGCTTTCTGACAGCCCTGAAGTGGGGGAAGGGGATCCAAACCAGGGGATCCCCTGCCCCCAACTGGGGATTATTGCAAAATAGGGAAAGGATTGTTAATCAGGAGAATGAACAGTATGTTCCAATGGGTGGTTGCTTAACAAGTTCCTCTCATTTTCCTGGTTGGCTGCTGGCACAGGGTTGATCCAAATGGGCATCCTGGAGCCTACTTTGGCTGTAGCCATCCAGAGGAAGTGCTTTCAAGTCCTTCAAAAAGACATGGAAATGGCCACTTGATAATTGCTCTTCAGCACAAGAAACTCCAGCATTAGTAACATGGCCTACTTGTCCATTTTGCTTCCTTTCCATCATTGGATGTACATATTGGGTGTTGAACAACAGTTACATTCTTCCCCATTCTTCCCCTAGGGATTGGTTTGATGCAATCTCCCATTCATTCAGACACATATGTGCCATGTCCCAATGCATTATGGCATTGTGGCAGCAGCATTTCTGCATCAATGTTTTCTGACTTACTGCTGCAATCCATGGACAGCAAAAGTCTCCAGTGTATTTGAAGAGGTAACAGCAGAGCAAATGTCCTGGGTTGGGGGGGGGGGAGGCTAGAGTTACTACTTAGGACAACTAATAAATAATAATAATATAATGGGGGGAAACATCCTACCTCGGGCAATTATGGAGCCAGCCAAGTCATGTAATCTTCTTTCATATGATGTTTGGGTAAGGCCTGAGTGGTGATGGCAGTGGGGAGCGGGTAAGATCTTTGGCTGTGGGCTGCCAATGGCTCTCAGCAGCCTTGGGGAGATGCCAGCAACATCTGCCCTTTTTGTAATGCTTGCCCTACTCCTGTATAAGCCCCTCTGTACAACCAATCTACTTATGCCTTACAGTTGTTCCTAAAGCTCTTCATAGCAGGGGAGGGGTCATATCTCCTCTGATATCACACCACTTACCTCTGGATTTTAGACAAACTGCCCCCATTTTTAACCCGGGTGTACAGAAAGGGGTGACAGATCACTTAAATGATGATCTATCAAGCTAAACCCTATAAACTATTTTCAGCATCAGGATTAGGGATGGGTATGAATTGAATCACAAAGCAAAATTCATCACAAATTTTGCCCTTTTCGTGGTTCGCAAACATAAGTTCGTGATGAACTTCCACAAACTTTTAAAGCAGTTCATGGCAGTTTGTCGACAGAGCCGAAAGCATTGGTTTAAAGGGACTCCGAGTCCCTTTAAGCTCCTGCTTTATGTTCCCCTCAAAGGCACAAAAACAGCTGAGCACTGGGGAGGTTTTCCCCACCGCTCAGCTGTTTTGGGCTCTCTTGTGCAGAGGGGAGCAGGTGCTCCCTGTAACTCAGCTGTTTTTCAGGCTTTCTGAATACCCTGTTTAAAGGGCCTACAGTTCCTTTCAGTGGGGTTTGCAAGCCACGAACGGGTTCAGTTCGCAAACAACAATCCCAGTTCAGTTTGTGGTTCTGCCATGAACTCAAACAAACCACATTTTTCTGGTTTGTGCCCATCCCTA